GTATCTTCATGTACAACGAAGACGTCAAATCAATCGCCGAGTTTCCTTTCTCAGCCTCAAAACCTAACGATGTTCAAGAGAGCCACGAGGATGCTAAACCGATTCAAGAATCGATCAAGAACTCAGACCCAATTCAAGATTCCGTCGCAAACGCAGACCCTGTTGAGGAATCGGTGCAAAATCCAGACCCAGATCAAGTTTCAGTGAGAGAATCATCCGAGACGGTACACGAAGAGGTGTCGAAAACAGAGGAAGAGAAAAAGATTGAGCTTTTCGCTGCGACGGAGGAAGAAGAAGACGTGGAATTGCCACCGGAGGAGTGCGATTTGTTCACCGGAGAATGGGTTTTCGATAACGAGACCCATCCGATATACAAAGAGGATCAGTGTGAGTTTTTGACGGCGCAAGTTACTTGCATGAGAAATGGAAGAAGAGATTCTCTGTATCAGAATTGGAGATGGCAACCCAGAGACTGTTCTTTACCAAAGTAAACCGGAAAAAAAACTCTGTTTTTGTAAAGTTTTTTCAATCGATTCTTTTGGTTTGGTTCGGTGGGTGTTGTTGAACCTGATTTTGTTTTTCTGGGTTTTGTTTGATTCGGTGAAGATTTAAAGCGAAATTGCTACTGGAGAAGCTAAGGAACAAGAGAATGATGTTCGTTGGAGATTCACTAAACCGGAATCAATGGGAATCAATGGTTTGTTTGGTTCAATCAGTGGTTCCTCCCGGTCGAAAAAGCTTGAACAAAACCGGTTCTCTCTCTGTTTTCCGAATCGAGGTAATATTAACAAACTTTGACTAGTTAATAGGATAATGTATTTGGTGGAGTTTGCTGATTATGAAGAGTAGTTAAGTTAAGTGTGGAATTTTCCGACTAATTTAGTGTTTTTATTTAAAGGATTATAATGCGACGGTGGAGTTTTATTGGGCACCATTTTTGGTGGAATCGAATTCGGATGATCCAAATATGCATAGTATACTTAACCGTATAATAATGCCTGAGTCCATAGAAAAGCATGGAGTCAACTGGAAAAACGTTGACTTTCTTGTCTTCAACACTTACATTTGGTGGATGAACACATTCGCCATGAAAGTCCTGTAAGTTGCTACTACAATATCACCTATATCCATATGTGTGTTGTGCATTTATATACAATGTTATGATTTGAGATTTGTGTAATTGACGAAAACAGACGAGGATCGTTCGATAAGGGAGACACCGAGTTCGAGGAAATCGAACGGCCAGTAGCTTACCGGAGAGTGTTAAGGACTTGGGGAGATTGGGTGGAGCGAAATATTGATCCTCTACGTACCACTGTCTTCTTCGCTAGCATGTCTCCTCTTCATATCAAGTAACTAATTCTCCTTAATTACCATTATGATTTTATATTGAGTCTTGCTTAATCAACTGAACATAACTAGTGATGCTTTGCTTGCAATCTGAAAAGATATTTGACAACTTGAGAGGTCACACTCTCCATGTTTGACTAGTGTCACCATTTCCATAATTTTCAAGAAATTATGATTTGAAATAATATGCGGTCACTAAATTCTAGTGTTTGTGTGCCATATGTATTTTCTAAGAACTTAATGCGTGCTAACTCTATTCATTTGACCTGCTATATATATACTTATTAAATGAAAGCCACTAATATAAACTATTAATCTGTTTTCATACTTTTTATTACAAAAATGATTTGATTCGAAATAGGAAAAGCTTGATCATTTTGTTTTTTCTTAGGTTCAGATTATTGATAGATCGTCAATTATAACGGCACTTAGTTGATGTTGTTATATACATATATAGCATTTTAATCAGTTTTTGGTTTCCAAAACACATACTAAGCGCAATATAATCACATATGTATATTTTCTTACAATATAATAAAAAAAAATTATTAGCCTGCGAATTGCAAGGCAGCTTGAAAACCAAGCAACTACCAGAAAAAAAAAAATAGATAACAAGTCGTTGTCCTTTAAAAGACCCCACATAATATACAAACTTAACATAAAACATAAAATCTTCATTATTTTTCAAATTTAATTAGTTGGTGTAACTACCACATACAATATTTCTTTGTAAGCAATATATACTTGTGTTTATTTTAACTGTTGTTATTTTTATCTTTAGGAGCTTGGATTGGGAGAATCCAGATGGGATAAAATGCGCATTGGAAACGACACCAATACTAAACATGTCAATGTCATTCAGCGTAGGAACAGACTACAGGTTATTTTCAGTAGCTGAAAACGTCACGCATTCTCTTAAAACTCCGGTTTACTTTCTCAACATTACAAGACTCTCCGAATACCGGAAAGATGCTCACACTTCGGTTCACACAATCAGACAAGGCAAAATGTTGACGCCGGAACAACAAGCCGATCCAGACACTTACGCCGATTGTATCCATTGGTGTCTTCCCGGTTTACCTGACACGTGGAACGAGTTCCTTTACACACGTATCATTTCTCGTTCGTGACCTTACAAAGAAAAGAAATGTTTCGTGAGATCTCTCAATTTTATTATTTTGATGTCATTATGTTCATAATTTTTTCCTTGAATTGTAATCGTGAAATGTTTTTTTTCTTCTTTAAATGGTTATTAGACTGTCTATTAGGATGCAAATGAAAAGGGTCTTTTTAACTGTATTTTTTTTTTTTTTGTATACTYTTGAACTTTGGAGTGAGGTGGAAAGCAAAGGATGCCAAATGTTTTTGTCAATTAATTGGGGTAAAACTTGCCCACATCGACTGTATATCTTTAAACGGTTGATATATTATTGTTCACCGGAAAAATAAATCTAAAGGTTAATATGTATTCATTTCTTGCTTTTTGTTAGGTTTTATCAGACCAATCAGAGGAGGTCACTGAGGTAGAGCCAATAATGTAGTTATTATTGCTTGACCATTTCATAGTTCGAAAATTACAAAGGGTATTGAAAGAAATAAAAACAATCAACTTTCTATCTTCTCTTCTTGTAGTAGTGACTACAAACAATATACTAACGGTAAAAAGTAAAGAAATTAAACAAAAATCAAAGAATTAAATTGCAGAGATGGCCCAAAACCAATCTTCATGTTTAGTGTGTGTTTACTTACGCCACAGTCTGCTCTTTCTCTCTATACATTTGCTCAGCCCACGACATTATCCGAATTCTCTCATTCATCCCAAAGCCTCTCTCCGACACAACATTGTCTTTAACCAAAGAGTTAACCCACGACACATCTGGCTCGTCCCTGTAATCTCTCGCTCCTGC